ACATCGCCGCGGCGCGCATGCGCTGCCGGCTGGAAACGAGAGTCGCGCCGAGCGTTCCGCGGCCGAGCGTTCCGCGTCCAAGCCAGGGAGTGCCGTGTCCGAAGGATCTGCCTTGAGGGCCTTGGCTGCTGCTGAGGAAAACGGCACCCTGCCGTGAGCAGGAACACTAGCAGGACCCCCGATCTGACTGAAACGGATCATAGGAGCCCCAGATCCACCAGAAAAAAAAAAAAAAAACGGGAAGGAAACATGGGTTTGGCTCAGATTAGACTGAAACTGAACCAAAACCAAAGCTGTGATGAACAGGGAACTCCTGTTGTTGGCCTTTTGAAGAACTGATGTCCATCCTCCTCAGCAACGAGGATTTCCCCAAGGATGAAGAAAGGCAAAATGGCTTTCAGGGAGCCCTTGCCTCTGCAACTGGTTTGCCTGTGGTTGACTAGCAGTAGTGGGCCCAGGAGATAGGCTTGGACTGGTGCGACTGTGGATGGAAAGGAAGACATGTAGCAAGGAAACCTCTTTCTCTCTGGAGTCAGACAAGCCTCCATGGCATCCCCCTCCCAGCCTGTCGGCTCCTAGAAGTCACCCATCCCTCTTGTGCTGAAACGCTCTGCTCACGGAGGGATGGTGCCTCTCCAGCCGCACAACGGGCCACCACATCCCAAGGCCAAATACCCATACCCCAGGCAGCCCTCCCTGCCAGACCTCTTCCGTCCCAGAAAACACCTCCTTTTCCTGCAGAGCGCCTCAAAGCCAAGCTCCCTGCACACCCATCACACTTCTGTCCTGCCTAACTCCTGCCAGGGCAGCTGAAGTTAAGCTCCAAACAGATTTCCCACCAGGTCCCACCAAGTTACCTCCCTGCCAGCGCCGTGCAAAGAGGCAAAAATACCATGTGGCTTAGCAGAAACGGATGTAGGTAACACAAATAGCCACACGGCGGCAATATGCTCCTTGTAGTATTGCATTGCACAGCTGTAACGCCCCGCGGGTAACGTTTCCTGTATTCTGTACTAGTCAGTAGTCACTGTGTGCATCTTTTGGTCAGGCCTGCTGGTGTGCGCAAAGAATTTGAATCTGGACAATTATCCTAAAACCCTCATCTTCTACCAGACCGATGGCAACTGCAGGCAACACGCAGTTTAATTATATATCAGTCACAAGCTTCACGGCATCAGGGCGTAGGTATTTCTCAGCAATTAGATCTTCCAGTAGCGCTGCAGTCCCACTAGGAAAAAGAAATCAATACACAATTCAAAATACTTTGTGGCTAAACACTAATCTCTTAAATATTCCTGATCATTTCAGATGCACAGTCAGCTCGCCGGCCCTCAAGGTTGTCACAGACTCAGCAGCGTATTTCTAAATTAAAGCAATAAAATCATTTACAAGTTGACTTACTGTTTATAGAACTGCTTATAATCGAATCTGCTCTTCGTTAACACTTGCTGTATTTTGAAGAAGAGCCTCAAATCATTTAAAAGGAATGTTGTCAAGAAAATGATCACACACAGAAAAATCACCCAGATCTGAAGCCTACAACTTATTGTTAAAACTGATGGGAAAAAACATATTTTACTTTCTGGAATTCAAAATGCTTTTTTCCTTGGTTTGGGCTTTGCAAATAGGAGCGCTCAGTTATATCTGAGGGAAAACACCATGAATCTAAGCTAAAATAGGTAAGTATGCATGTACTGATAGACTCACATGCGCAGCTCAGCAGGGACTGCAGGCATAGGGCAGTTCCCAGAAACACGACCTGTTCTTGCAGAGTACTTGAGTACTCTGAGTACTTTGAGCGTTACTGATCATTGATACATGCTGTAGCTACTGCTAATTTACCTTTCCACAGCTTGTGGAATCCTAGAGTGATTTCAACAGGGAGGTTGCTTCTGAAGGGTGCAGAAGTGTTTCGATTAACTCCCAATCAAAGGGACAAAATCAATGTATGGAGTTTCGCACAGTTTCAGCTGAGTGAAGTGATACCCCTCTTTGCTATGCTCCACTCCATACTCCCAAAAAGCTAGGAGCACAAAATTGTGTGCGTTGACTCAGCTGATCAGAAGTCACTTGCTAAACTGCAGTAAATAGCTTACGGTCGTCCGTCCATGTCCTGTATCACGTCAGCATGTTTTAGGTGCAGGTAAAGCTAGAGTTTTTGGCAGACTTCAGAACAGGAACACCTCTTACTTTGCATCTCCCCAATAACTAGTCTATTTTAACCCCACTGAGAAGGCACAAGAACCCCCCTTTTATTTTTGTCAGTACCACGGATGTCAGATATACCTTTTTATCTTCAAGTATAAAGCTTTAGACCGTTGTATGTTTATTCTGGAGACATAAGGGAGCTCCAAACCAGCACAGCTTAGTCCTCTAAGAGATATGTGAAATTTGACAGGATTTATTTATTTATTTATTTATTTTAGGAAAGCAGGAAAAGTCATTGTTCGATGGAAGCATTATTCAGGCATATAGTAAAAAAATCAGCCACAGGTTAATTTCCCTCCTCCCGTACTGTTTGGAAGTGTCAAATACCGCAAACTATTATGAGGCAAAAACCTCGCTCTGCTCCCATTCTCACTGCCGGATGGAGGCCTGCCTTGGGCACGGCGGTGCTGCTGTTATTTCGAGGTACGCAATTCCTAACTAAATGCTGCTCAAGAAGAAGAAAGAAAGAGAGGAGAAGGGAGAAAGATGAGAAGGGAGAGAGAAGGAAAAAACAGAAAAGATAAGAGAGGAAAAAAGAAAAAAAGAGAGGAAAAAAGAAAAAAAGAGAGGAAAAAAGAAAAAGAGAGGAAAGAAAAAAGAGAGGAAAAAGAAAAAAGAGAGGAAAAAGAAAAAAGAGAGGAAAAAGAAAAAAGAGAGGAAAAAGAAAAAAGAGAGGAAAAAGAAAAAAGAGAGGAAAAAGAAAAAAGAGAGGAAAAAGAAAAAAGAGAGGAAAAAGAAAAAAGAGAGGAAAAAGAAAAAAGAGAGGAAAAAGAAAAAAGAGAGGAAAAAGAAAAAAGAGAGGAAAAAGAAAAAAGAGAGGAAAAAGAAAAAAGAGAGGAAAAAGAAAAAAGAGAGGAAAAAGAAAAAAGAGAGGAAAAAGAAAAAAGAGAGGAAAAAGAAAAAAGAGAGGAAAAAGAAAAAAGAGAGGAAAAAGAAAAAAGAGAGGAAAAAGAAAAAAGAGAGGAAAAAGAAAAAAGAGAGGAAAAAGAAAAAAGAGAGGAAAAAGAAAAAAGAGAGGAAAAAGAAAAAAGAGAGGAAAAAGAAAAAAGAGAGGAAAAAGAAAAAAGAGAGGAAAAAGAAAAAAGAGAGGAAAAAGAAAAAAGAGAGGAAAAAGAAAAAAGAGAGGAAAAAGAAAAAAGAGAGGAAAAAGAAAAAAGAGAGGAAAAAGAAAAAAGAGAGGAAAAAGAAAAAAGAGAGGAAAAAGAAAAAAGAGAGGAAAAAGAAAAAAGAGAGGAAAAAGAAAAAAGAGAGGAAAAAGAAAAAAGAGAGGAAAAAGAAAAAAGAGAGGAAAAAGAAAAAAGAGAGGAAAAAGAAAAAAGAGAGGAAAAAGAAAAAAGAGAGGAAAAAGAAAAAAGAGAGGAAAAAGAAAAAAGAGAGGAAAAAGAAAAAAGAGAGGAAAAAGAAAAAAGAGAGGAAAAAGAAAAAAGAGAGGAAAAAGAAAAAAGAGAGGAAAAAGAAAAAAGAGAGGAAAAAGAAAAAAGAGAGGAAAAAGAAAAAAGAGAGGAAAAAGAAAAAAGAGAGGAAAAAGAAAAAAGAGAGGAAAAAGAAAAAAGAGAGGAAAAAGAAAAAAGAGAGGAAAAAGAAAAAAGAGAGGAAAAAGAAAAAAGAGAGGAAAAAGAAAAAAGAGAGGAAAAAGAAAAAAGAGAGGAAAAAGAAAAAAGAGAGGAAAAAGAAAAAAGAGAGGAAAAAGAAAAAAGAGAGGAAAAAGAAAAAAGAGAGGAAAAAGAAAAAAGAGAGGAAAAAGAAAAAAGAGAGGAAAAAGAAAAAAGAGAGGAAAAAGAAAAAAGAGAGGAAAAAGAAAAAAGAGAGGAAAAAGAAAAAAGAGAGGAAAAAGAAAAAAGAGAGGAAAAAGAAAAAAGAGAGGAAAAAGAAAAAAGAGAGGAAAAAGAAAAAAGAGAGGAAAAAGAAAAAAGAGAGGAAAAAGAAAAAAGAGAGGAAAAAGAAAAAAGAGAGGAAAAAGAAAAAAGAGAGGAAAAAGAAAAAAGAGAGGAAAAAGAAAAAAGAGAGGAAAAAGAAAAAAGAGAGGAAAAAGAAAAAAGAGAGGAAAAAGAAAAAAGAGAGGAAAAAGAAAAAAGAGAGGAAAAAGAAAAAAGAGAGGAAAAAGAAAAAAGAGAGGAAAAAGAAAAAAGAGAGGAAAAAGAAAAAAGAGAGGAAAAAGAAAAAAGAGAGGAAAAAGAAAAAAGAGAGGAAAAAGAAAAAAGAGAGGAAAAAGAAAAAAGAGAGGAAAAAGAAAAAAGAGAGGAAAAAGAAAAAAGAGAGGAAAAAGAAAAAAGAGAGGAAAAAGAAAAAAGAGAGGAAAAAGAAAAAAGAGAGGAAAAAGAAAAAAGAGAGGAAAAAGAAAAAAGAGAGGAAAAAGAAAAAAGAGAGGAAAAAGAAAAAAGAGAGGAAAAAGAAAAAAGAGAGGAAAAAGAAAAAAGAGAGGAAAAAGAAAAAAGAGAGGAAAAAGAAAAAAGAGAGGAAAAAGAAAAAAGAGAGGAAAAAGAAAAAAGAGAGGAAAAAGAAAAAAGAGAGGAAAAAGAAAAAAGAGAGGAAAAAGAAAAAAGAGAGGAAAAAGAAAAAAGAGAGGAAAAAGAAAAAAGAGAGGAAAAAGAAAAAAGAGAGGAAAAAGAAAAAAGAGAGGAAAAAGAAAAAAGAGAGGAAAAAGAAAAAAGAGAGGAAAAAGAAAAAAGAGAGGAAAAAGAAAAAAGAGAGGAAAAAGAAAAAAGAGAGGAAAAAGAAAAAAGAGAGGAAAAAGAAAAAAGAGAGGAAAAAGAAAAAAGAGAGGAAAAAGAAAAAAGAGAGGAAAAAGAAAAAAGAGAGGAAAAAGAAAAAAGAGAGGAAAAAGAAAAAAGAGAGGAAAAAGAAAAAAGAGAGGAAAAAGAAAAAAGAGAGGAAAAAGAAAAAAGAGAGGAAAAAGAAAAAAGAGAGGAAAAAGAAAAAAGAGAGGAAAAAGAAAAAAGAGAGGAAAAAGAAAAAAGAGAGGAAAAAGAAAAAAGAGAGGAAAAAGAAAAAAGAGAGGAAAAAGAAAAAAGAGAGGAAAAAGAAAAAAGAGAGGAAAAAGAAAAAAGAGAGGAAAAAGAAAAAAGAGAGGAAAAAGAAAAAAGAGAGGAAAAAGAAAAAAGAGAGGAAAAAGAAAAAAGAGAGGAAAAAGAAAAAAGAGAGGAAAAAGAAAAAAGAGAGGAAAAAGAAAAAAGAGAGGAAAAAGAAAAAAGAGAGGAAAAAGAAAAAAGAGAGGAAAAAGAAAAAAGAGAGGAAAAAGAAAAAAGAGAGGAAAAAGAAAAAAGAGAGGAAAAAGAAAAAAGAGAGGAAAAAGAAAAAAGAGAGGAAAAAGAAAAAAGAGAGGAAAAAGAAAAAAGAGAGGAAAAAGAAAAAAGAGAGGAAAAAGAAAAAAGAGAGGAAAAAGAAAAAAGAGAGGAAAAAGAAAAAAGAGAGGAAAAAGAAAAAAGAGAGGAAAAAGAAAAAAGAGAGGAAAAAGAAAAAAGAGAGGAAAAAGAAAAAAGAGAGGAAAAAGAAAAAAGAGAGGAAAAAGAAAAAAGAGAGGAAAAAGAAAAAAGAGAGGAAAAAGAAAAAAGAGAGGAAAAAGAAAAAAGAGAGGAAAAAGAAAAAAGAGAGGAAAAAGAAAAAAGAGAGGAAAAAGAAAAAAGAGAGGAAAAAGAAAAAAGAGAGGAAAAAGAAAAAAGAGAGGAAAAAGAAAAAAGAGAGGAAAAAGAAAAAAGAGAGGAAAAAGAAAGCGCACGTTGCCGACGGCAGGCCGTTGCCGCTCTGTGGTGGCGCCCTCGGCCAAGGGCTGCATGCCTGAGCCGTCCTGCTGCTCTGCCTCTAAACGAGAGGAAAAATTCCTTAGTGCTGTGAAAACACGACTGTGTTCATTAGCCAGGTGTAGCTTAGTCCTGGAGCATCTGCTTTGAACTAACACCTCGCTGGCTGTGCTTTCCACAGTGACACAGTTCACGTTTTAACCACAATTCAGAAATAGCATGCATTACTGTCTTTTATTACAACAGTAGTGATTTTTTCTATTATTTTTTTAACCCATTATGTTTCAGTTCTGCTCAAGATGATTGTGTTGCATGATCTGACACCTGAAGTAACTGAGTGACAGTATTTGTTTGTTTGTTTTTAATCTTCAAGAATATTAAGCCTGTTTAGAAACAGCCGTTCGGAAAGCCTTGCTTGTAAGCAAAGGTTTGTTTGTGGTATAAACGCTCTCAGAATTATGTGGTTCAGACCAACCTATGAACAGAGTTTCTGTGCTCTTTCAGCGTGAGCTACTGGAAGATACGCTAAGTATTCATCTTACTCTGAAGCGTGTTTCCGGAGACAACGGGCTTCAAAAGCAGTGCTACAGTAGGTAGAAGAATAAATAACATTACTTTTACTGATTTAATCTACTTGAAGACAAGCTTAATACTTAATGAGGGGCTGGTTCATGTATGTGCTTGTTTTGTTTTGAAGACCCATGCAGCTTGTTTGGCGGCACTGCCAGCCAAGTATCCAACTCGGTGACCCAGTTCTGAAACACCTGGAGCTCTTTGGCTCGGTGGTCTTATCCTAAATAAGCTAGCTTGTTTTAACCTGGTTGCCCAAGCAATTACCTTGCTGCAAAGTTGAAAACTGAATTCATTTGAATGTTTTATTTGGAAGTGTTAGGTGTTTGCTTTCCGGCTGCCTTCCTGAGAGATGAGGTGTAATTCCTATTTTACTTTGTAATATGCTGTTCTGTGGGGGACTTGCACTGTGAACGTGACAGCTAGACACAATGCTAGATGTTCATATCCATTCCTTTTCTACTCATATCTTCTGAGAGTAGCATAGAAATACCTAAAGTGCCTCTAACCTGTGTGATCATGCTTAGCTGTTGCTCACTATGAGGAGAGCAAAACCCTGTTTTGCTGGAGGGGGAGGAGCTGAGACAGAGGGGAAAATATTCTTACCAGCTAGCCTTAGACACGTGATGGAGACAACGCTCCTATAATCAGTAGAAAGGTGAACAGCGTTGTTCCCTGGAGGTGCTCTTTGCTTTCATTTGAGAAATCCAGGGAGACTGGAAGCTGGAGAGCCCAAATAATCTGAAGCTAGGCAGTGTGGTATCCCAGGGGTTTGCCTAATGTGGCAAAGGTATGTAGCAGTCAGGGAACCAAGTGGAGGTATGCTACATCTCAGGTTAGTCTTTGGGACAAGGATTTTCTGTCATGCTTTAAATGAAGCTGAATGGAAGGGAAAGTATCCATATGATGCTTCTGCCTGTCAGAGGTATTGTTGTAAATAGTGTATAAGTTTACTCTTTCTTTTCCCTCAGGGAACAAATATCTCAACACCTGCCAGGAAACTGGAGCCTTTTCACTCTGTAGTAACAAATAAAGAAGGGTGAAGCATGAGGATGAACTCTGCTCTTCAGGCTGCTATTGACCTCACAGCAGGAGCTGCAGGTAAGGATGGAGAGATCTTAATTGCACAAAACTTCTGAGGACGATTTTGACAAGTGTAAAAGCAATTCCTCCGCCCCGCCAAGGAATCATCTTCCTTTTTAAGAAGGATATAAAGGTGAAGCAGCTGACTTCAGCCAGTGTTGTCAATGCATCACTGTCACTGCTCCTTAGTGAAACCCTTGCCAAAAAGGACGTGTGTAACCTTTATTTTAGACTAATAATTTTCCAGGAGTAGATTTAAGTATCAGTGTTAGGTTTTCATGCTTACATGAATTTTTGAATATCAGTCACAAACAGAGCTTTGCAATAAACTCATTCAGTGAATGAGTGACTGAGATAATGCTTCTGGTGCAGGAACTCCCTCTAATTGAAACAGGCAGGAGGCTATCTGGAGGGCTGTTGGCTCAGACGATATTCAAATGTAAATCTTTAAAAGCTGAGAAACTTAATGGTATGACTAGCGTTCATCATTTCACTTAACTAACTTCCACTTAGGCCTGGTCTGTGTGATAAAAGTTTTGTTGCAGTTGTCACAACTGGTCCAAGTGTGTTAAAAGTTGCACTGTGTCACTGACATTACTGTATTGATAATGTCTGTGGCTGAGGGATGACGTGGTTCTTAACCTTACTGCGGAAAGGCGTCTCTTGATGTTAGAGGTTTCATTTTGGGGAGGGAGTGGGGAATACAACTATAGCAGTACTACAAAAGCTTTTGTCCTGAGAACAGGCTTAGCCACAGAGAGATGCTAGTATCCCAAAGAAGCTTACATGATGTCTGGAACAGACGAAATGTTGGGATAGAACGGATAATGTGATGTCTTACAGAGAAAAGGTGGAAGGAAAGATTTATCTAATGTGCTGTTGTAATCAGTTTAAACAGTTTAATGGGTTTTTCTTACTTATACAATGATTATTACAGACAGTCTTTTTATGACAGTATTACTGCCATGGATATGACCACATCAACAGTGTTAAGCGCATGCAATTCAAGGGTAGTTATTGGAGGTTGGTTGTCAGAATGCAGTTACCTTAGTGCAGTAAGGAGACAAGGGGTGACAGCTTACATTAATCCAGCGTAGCATCTTCATAAAGCATTTGGTCATCCACTATGTCTTCCCCAGTGAATACTTGCTTTGTGTTCATTAACTTTCCAGCACTCTCTTAAAAAATTCATTGCCTGAGAAAAATCTATTTCTGTTAGTCTGTTCTTTCTTTCCCATTTCTTTTTTTAGGTCCTTTGGGTAAAGAATAGCAATTTTATCTGCCCTGTTTCAAAAGTAGCAACTTAATATCTGTGCAGGTTTTTTGCTGGTGTTCCCAGGTGCTTAAGTGGGAAGAGTGATTGCTTTCCTTTCCAATAATTCAACTCAGGAAAGATGCTGTTAACAGCCAGGGCCATGGAGCACCCTGTCTCCCAAGGTGTCTTTCTGAATCGAAGCCTGGAGTGTCTCCTCTTGGCTGCTACGAGGGCTGGAAATTAGCCTTAGCCTAGAAAGTCATTTCTCTGTGGTATTCTTCCATGCACACAGTCATGCAACCAATGCATGTGCTTCTTGACGTTTGTCTCTTTTTTGGCGGTAGAGATTAGAGGAATCGTAAGTTACAGAGTTTTCTCCTCTGGTGTAGTTCGTTCTTCAGATAGTATAAAGGAATTCAAATCTCTTTCAATAGGACTTCGGTATTCCTAAATCGTCGTTCTTGTTCTTTGCTACCCCTGTTGTAATAGAAAGTTTTGCTGTTCCTCTAGTATTTGTTTATTTTCCGTACTCTTTTCACAAACTTCCTCTCTGTTGCTCATGTTCGCTGGTAGGTGTGGGTCTCTGCCCCCTTTGGAAGCAGTATTTAACAAGCCAAACGACTATTTCCTCACCACATGCATAACCTCCTTTGCCAGATAGTTTTTACTAGCTGGTAGGTAATGTCTTATTAGTTAGAGCCCTTTCTTTTGGGGGCAAATAAATTCTGAACAAGAATCAGCAAGTTATTTAGCTGCCTGTGAGTCATAGTTTGTGGCCTAGGATCTGAGCAACCTCAAATCACTTCTTAATTAAGCAGGACTCCCTTTTTTCCCGCACTGTTCCCTTTTTATTAATAGGGACTGTCTTCATCTAAACATTAAATTCTGTTTAATGAGCAGGATGGGGGGGGGCAGGGGTTGCTTATTTTAACAAGCTATACTGCTGGTTGAAAGATTTTCTCCCTCTCTTCTCCCCGCCCACCATAATATTTATGAAATGTTAACCAGGACTCTCAGTCTTTACCCTGAAGCTTACAAAATTGTTTGCTGTTCTTTGCTGGGCTTTGCCCCCAGAGACACTGTAAGGAGAGGTCTTTCTCTTTCGAGTAGCCGTTCACAATCAGATCCCAATTTTCCAGCTTGGATTCCCAAGGCCGTTTCTTGTTTTCCTGGTTCTTCTCCTTGGCTTCTTCCAAGGCTGTTAGTTTAGTACATGCGGCCGTTCTAGGTCTGTCATCCCACACAAGCCTAATGTTTGTCCTGTAGATGTGTATCTACCTGAGCTCCCTGCAAATAGCATTGGCCGAGCCTTTTTAGAGCTCCTTCTCTGCTTTTCATCTGAGGTTTACATTGCTGTTACTATCTAAGCCAGCTGCTTCTTGCTCTGCAGGGATAGCCAAGGAGATGAGTTCTTCAGGTGTTGCTTCCTCACAGAGTTTGTTCTGGAGCTTTTAATGACTTATCTGTTGAGAATCACGTATTATGGAGGATAGGATCTTGACTTCTTCCTGAAGGCCCTAAGTACCTCGTCGCAGAGGAGCGACAATGATGCAACACAAACACGTTTGCAAAGAGTAAAATCTGAGAATTGCCCCCAGTTAAACCAGAGCTTGTTTACTTTTCTTCTCCCTTAGAAGAAAATTAACTAGTCTTAATTGGCTTCACACATTCAATCTCTTTTACTTCAGTCTTTTTATATTATCTGGATTTACAGATAATTGTTTCAGTTTCATAGCTGTGAAAAACAGCACCTTGTTATCTTACCCCCTTTAAGGTATATGTGTGCCAAGTGCTTTGGTAAAAGATCAACTTCTGTTTTAGGATAGTTTTTCTCTCTTTTTAAAAAACAGAAACTACGAAATCCATACAAGGTACATTCTCTGCATGCTATTAGACACAGTTCCCAGTATGTTGCTGTCACTGTACATTAGTATTTCTTACTGAAATTGTATTATCTTCAGCCTTTTCTGCAGACTCTTGGATTAACTTGGATCTCATGGAAAAATACTAGTGTGGGCAAAGTGGTTATAAAAGACATTAATGGAAAGTATCTGACAAGTTTCTAGGGTATTGACCTTGCAGTTCAGTTTGGATAAGATAACATGTTGAGAAATGTTGCCCTCTTGCCCTTTTTTAACTTCTCATGGACTGTCTCTTACAGTATGTGGGAATAAATGTAAATAAGAGTCATCTGGAGTCTTGAAATGAAGGATTTATCTTTGGTTATCAGTTGATAATGTGTCACTAGTTTTAACACTCTCTCAGCAGCGTTCTTGTTCTGGACTAATCTTTAAGAGGAATTTTTGTCTCACTTGGTTACAAATCGTTCAGTTTTATTGTTGTTGGCATGTAAAATCAGACTTCTGAACCACTACATTAATGAGCAAGGCAAAATGCTGCTTAGTTTATAATCACAGGTGACTCAGTTGTAGGACAATACCTTTTAAGTACCTATTTGTATAAGTAAATTGATTATTAAAATACTAACTTTTAATAAAGTAGAGAAATGTCTAATGAGAATCAAGCTGTTGCTGCTTTTATGTATTTTTTTTTTTTTTTTCTTACGAGGGGACTAAATTCACTGCTGATGTATTAGATGCCATTGAACTAAAATCAGTGTAGTTTTTTTCTGGAGAGAATTCATCCATCTTTGCGTACTGCATAAATTAAATAATAGCGCTTTTTGTATATAGGCCCTTCATTCATGATACTCTTCAGTGACCCTCTTAACTTCCACTGCTTGCTTAGGTGGGGCTGCATGCGTGGTGACTGGCCAGCCCTTTGACACAGCGAAGGTGAAGATGCAGACGTTCCCTGACATGTATAAAGGAATTGTTGACTGCTTTGTGAAGACCCACAAACAAGTGGGGTTTCGAGGCCTCTACAGAGGGACCACACCAGCGCTTGTAGCCAACATCGCGGAGAACTCTGTTCTGTTCATGTGCTATGGATTTTGCCAGCAAATTGTGAGGAAAATTGTTGGAGTAGACAGGAAAACAAAGCTCAGGTTAGTAAGAGAAATCTGTTTTGTATTTAAAAAAAAAAAAAAAAAAAAGCAACTGTTATTAACAAATACTGTCATGATGCATCTGAGGTGCCCCAGGCCTCTCCCTGCCAATATGTTATGTAGTATGTTTTGGAGTATTGACTTTTGTGCTAGGGTATGGTGCCTAACTACAACAAAGCAGTCTGCTTGTCACCGCAGCTAGCTGGTTCAGGTAGTCACAGCTTAACTGGAATATTTAAGAACTGAAATATTCCTCAAAGGAACTGAGCATTGCAACACCTGTAAAGTTGGTATTCCCTCTATCCCTAGGTTCTGACTTTGCAGGGTAGGTAATGGGAGACATGCTGAAGGGAGAGGACTTTTTTCTGATGTTGTCTTGTGAGGTTTTTTGTTTTGGTTTTCTTATTTTGTTTTGTTACAAAGGCTTTTACGTAATGGCCATGGTGTTGGACTGAAGTTCCGTTTAGCCCAGCCTGTGTCTACAGCGCTGGCAATAAGTGGGGATGCCTAGGGACGAGAAAGAAGAGAGGATCCGTCTGGTACTTCCTCCAACTCCTCTGCCAGCCTGTTATTCTTAGATCAGAGGATTCATTGATCCTGGTATGATTTGTTTAGTCAGTGTCTTTAGCGGATCTCTTTTGAAGCACTTGTCCAGTCGCTCTTTGACTTCTTATAAATTCCTTGAATCTGCTGTACCTCTTGGCAAAGAGTTCGGCAGGTTACAACCGTTAATTCTGTAACTGGACAAGAGAGCGAGCTTTCAGACAGCTAGCTGCTGTCTCTGCCACTCAGGATTTTGCAAACACCTATCAATTGCTCTGTACTCCCCTCCCCACCTGAGCCTTTCCCTAGGCTGAAGGGTCCCAGCCCACCCAGTCACTGGGCAACCAGAGGCTGTTCATTCCTTCGGCCATCCCAGCTGCCTTTCTCTGAAACTCTTGTCATTCTAACGCATCTGGATTTTGAGCTCATGAGACCAGGACTGTGCAGAGTATTCCAGGTGTGAACAAGCCGTGGATTTATACAGTGGCATAATGTTCGTAGTCTCTTTCTAGCAAGGACGGCTCTTCTCCAGGTACGTCACTTTACAGCTGTCAAGTGGTCCAGCAGTTTGCGTGCCTTACTCTTAGGCATTTCTTAAGGTACATTTTCTGAGCAGGGGTGAGAGTAACTGCACCTTTTTAATCCATACACTGCCCCATGTTATATAAAAGACTCACGTGATACTGTCCTAACTGCCCTTTGTTCTGAGAGCAATGCAAGGCTGAACCACATTCAGCTTTTTATTAGTAGCTTTGTTCTGGCTTCAGTCATTCTCATCTCTAAATGGAAGTGGCTGAGGAGTCGTGATTCTGCGTTCTACGTCTCTGAGGTAACAAGAACACTTACAGAAGTGTAAGAAAGACAGGTATCCAAAAGTGATACTACACACCTCCTGTCAGGGTGTTAAGAGATGTGTTCTGGACAGAGGCTTCGTATGAGGCAATATGAGGAGATGAAGAAGCAAGTTATATTAACTGCTCTTCATTTGCATTTTTTTCACCATTATTTTCTGTCAGTCGAGACAGAATTGTTACCACGTTTTTTATTACTATCATAGATCAGGAATTTTCAGCTTGCTTAACTTAGCAGACTGAGCATTTTTTCTCCCACTAAAATGTAGGATGTAGTCCTACTGACAGCATGCTTTTCTTAGTTATCTCTTGTGGATCCCGTGGAAGTAGCCCACAGACTTGCAGAGGTCCTAGGATCACTTCTTGAAAACCACTGACTGAGAAATGCCATGTGCCTGTTTATGACTTATGTAGTTGGGGTAGTCCAGGAAACTTCCAAATAGTGTGCATCAGTGTATTCCACGTCTACAGAGCAGGATACAGATGGGAATGTAAATTGAATATGTAACAGTAGCAAGTACCTCTGACAAGTACCTCACCCTGCTTTTCCTTGGTCAGATACCGGTGCTTTTCAAATCCGGCCTGGCTGCCTAACACAGTGTTGGTCAAAAAGTAAATATTAAGACTGCAGCTCCAAGCAGGACTGTACTGGGACAAAACACTAGAGGGTTTAATTTTACCAGAAAGACTTCTCCCTCAGCCCTACTCTCTTCATCTGGATTATCCTGGGGGTCATCTTACGAGGTATGTCTGAGAGAGTTGTATTGACATGGCCTACAATGGTGCCCTGAATACCCATGGTCTGTATCACCACCTAGTCTCGTTTGGAGGAGTCAGGAAGCCTTTGTAGCGTGCAGCAGAGGAAGGGGAAACCCCCTAATCAGTGGCTGTCCCCCAGGTGCAACAAGCAGAGAGCTGTTACCTTCATTGTGCCTGCTGTTTAGAAACTGATAAATGTATTTTATAGAAACAGCAGCATAAAAATAGAACATTTTTGCTCCTGTGTTGGGATGGTCAAAACTTTTCCACTGAGAAAAATACCGAATTAGGCATTTTATGTTGAGAGGGAACTTGCATAGGATTCAGGGCTTAGTGCTTCTGCAGTGAAGTTCACTGCATTAGAGACCAACATCTAGACAGCAAATCTAGTTGAACTGTTGCATGTGGAACTAAAAACATCAAGACAGGCAAAGTAGGAAAGGTCTTAATTATGCCTTAGTCCTTTATGTACATGTGTCATTATCTTTTTTTCATGTCTGATAGCCGCTAGGCTTTTCTCCTCCGAAAGGAAACGGGTTCTATGTACTTTTTAGCGTGTAGTTAGAGGGCACCTCTTCCATCTTTTCTTATCCTGACTCTTCAGTGTGTAATCTTATTGCCTTGCTCTAGTCCATAGCTTAATGACTGCATGGAACAGTCACATACTGTATTTTTACCTCTGCCTTGCTCTGTCTTGAGTTTTATCAGGTTTCGTCTCAGTCTCCTATTGTACCAAGCTGTGTGCTATAGAAAGGTTGTGTAATCGGTGTTGTAATTTCTTATTTACTGTATACTATTCAGTTGCTGCTCTGCAGACAATTAATGATTTCTTCCTTCTTTGACAGTTCTTGTCACTGCCATACTTGAACATTTCACAAGCATTAACTTTATTTTCATGATGCTTCTGTGAGGTGAAAAGTTGTAGCTGTAATCCCTGTCTGATACTGCAGCTGTTCAGAACTGTGGAGCGCACGGCCAATTTCCGCTTTGCATGGAAAGAGGTTCTGTGCAGCAGCTTGGTCAGTCTCTGCTGTACTGGCTCTCCAGGCTCTGAAAGGAGAGAGAAGCTCCACTTTTGTGCTCTGCTATCACGCAGCTCCTGTCCAAGACACCAAGGTCTGTAGCAGCAGGTTTTAAGCGTATCATAAGCAGTATAATCTTGGAGTACCAGCCTTCAAGTCCTGGCAGTTTATCAGTCCAGTCTTTGCAATATTTGTAAAATCAATTACTACAGAGTAAGTCCTACTTTGTAATACTGTGAGTTAATGCAGGTTACTGTGTTGTCCTGTTCCGTGGTATGTTCTGTGGTTATCTGCATTATTTGAGTCGTGTAGTTGCAATCATGCTAGCTCATCCACAGCAAAGATTACACCGGTCCAGCATGCTTTGATTTCAGACTTTTAGCATCTGTATTAATAGAAATATTGAAAATTTGTATTAATACCACTTCAGTGGATTTGAGAACATTGTAACATCTGCATAAGGCAATTCTTGTCCACATTATCCTTAGAAAAGTGATTAGTCCCCAAAAATTGCCCAGTAAAACAAAGGTCTAAGGAAATTCTTATAAAAGCCAAGAGGGAAAGATTTGGTTCTGTCTATTCTGCTGCAATTACTAAAATACAGCAAAAAATGTAAAGGCTGCCACGTATCTCCCTAGGTGTCAAAGGAAAGGATCTATTTCAGCTGTATATGAAGATGAAATTAGCTAGTTTTTTCCATCTCTGTAGTTCCAGAGACTCTCCTTCCCCCAAGACTGTCCTTCAGTTTTTCTTCATAATATTTATAGAGTATAGGTTCAGGAAGCAGATTGCTGGTGCAATAGCTCCGGTGTGACTTGAAGGCCAGTGCCCAAATACCCTCTGCAGCTTCTCTCTTGCAGTGATCTGCAGAATGCTACTGCAGGCTCCTTCGCCTCCGCCTTTGCCGCCCTTGTCCTCTGCCCCACAGAGCTGGTGAAGTGCCGTCTGCAGACCATGCATGAAATGCAGCTGTCAGGAAAGATAATGCAAGGACACAAGTAAGTATAGACCCCTGTCAGGTATCTCTGAAATCTGTTGCTCTTTATGCATACGTGTTTTAATTCTGTATTGGCTCAGCATTGTCACGTTTGTACTGTGCTATAAACCAGGGAAGAGTTGTGAAGGGGAAGGTCACAGCACGTGCCTGGAGATCCTTTCAGGCACTAGTTAAGCTGGGTGCCAGGGAAAAGCTGCAGACAGGATCTTGATCTAACTCTACATGAGTCCTGTTGTCTATACAGTGGGTCTAACCGTTAATGCTAGCTGCAATTATTTATTGTTCTGTAACCTTCTATTTATTAAGCTATCGGACATCACTAACTGCATCAACCTCTCTATCAGTACAGCTTGGTCAGTAGTGAAGGGTGTTCTTCAAAAGGATGGTCCCCTTGGATTTTATCATGGCTTGTTGAGCACTTTGCTGCGGGAAGTCCCAGGGTATTTCTTCTTCTTTGGAGGGTATGAACTAAGCCGGACGTTCTTTGCCTCTGGGAGATCAAAAGATGAATTAGGTATGGCTCTCTGTTTTCCAAATGGATTCTCGCATGCTGTTACTGGCTACACCAGGGAGGGTGGCATAGCTTGCCTGCAGATACGCTAATGATGTAAATGATGCAGATGTAATGATGCAGATGTCAAATGCATGTAAAGCTAAGAAAACTGGAGATCTACTAAATGCACATCTCTATCATGTATGTGTGGTAAAGAATCATTGAAGAGGCCTTTGTAAATGGAGAGTAAATATACTGAGCTAACAGTAATATTAAGAAATGACTTCAATATCTGACACTACAGTAACACTAAACACTGAACTACTTTATTTCACTAGTTGTTTATCTTTAGAGTGATTTGGAAGTCGTTAGCTGTATTCTCCTGAAGAGTGCATAAACGTATGCTGGTCTTCATATAAAGTTGCAGCTTGTCTGACCATTAAATGTCACTATAATGATAGTAAGAGAACACTAAGATCTAAACTTAGATACAAAAATCAGGAGATGCCAGAATAAAGATTGCTAGTGTCCTTTTGAAAGATTTAACAATAACACTTTGTCTTGCTGGGAGTCAACTGCATGCTTTCTGGTCTCTGTTTCTGCAAAACGTTTATAACCATCCAATCTGAAACGCAAAATGAGGTTGCATTGTGAAAAATAACTGACTGTGGAACAGTGACACTGATCACCTACAGAGATTTGTTCGGTACAGTGAAATTGTGACATGACTTTTCACAATGAGCCCTGGAAAGTGATTATGACTGAAAGGCGGGGTGGAGTTAAAACTCTGTCGTGACTATATTAATTAAATTGAGTTACACTTAACACAACCTGTAAGCTAAAAGGCACTCCTTACAACCTTTGGCTTAAACTAACTTCAAGGTTGTTTTGTGTTTTTTTTTTTGGGGGGGGGCGGGGGGGAAGCTGCTCTTTTGCCATAAGCGGGATACTCTACATTCTCTTTTATACTTCTGTAGAAGAAATACAGTGCTGTTTATGTTAGTAAATGTTTTCTGTTGTGTATAAAAGCTTATTTCTTAACCTTAGGTCCCATTCCTTTGCTGCTAAGTGGAGGTATTGGAGGCAGCTGCTTGTGGATTGCTGTGTATCCTGTAGACTGTGTCAAATCCAGAATTCAGGTTCTTTCAATGACTGGAAAACAGATAGGTTTTATGAGGACATTTGCAAGCATTGTTAAAAATGAAGGTGAGTGTGCTGGATATCAATTGAATCTGTAGGCCTGCAGATTCAAACCTATCCTCTCCAGTAGTGAAAATTAGTGAATAAGTCTAGTCTATTGATAATGTGTTAGAGATAGACGATAAATGATTCTAAGATAAATTTTGATGCTGATTATATTCTAGCAACTAGAAAATGAGACCTACTGCATTCTACTGTAGCTTTCAGTTCAAGAGACATTTCACATAAAGCTAGCAAAAATTTTTGGAAGCCTTACAAGCAGAAAAATAAATGGTTCCTTCTTCATGTCATGTTTACGGATGGTCACAGGTAAATGGAGTTCATTCAAGTTCAGTAGAGCATTTTTTCCCCTTATAAATTAATACATGACTGACTGAGGGATATCTGATAAATCTGATCTAGACTGGCAATTCTGAGCAGTCACCTAATGTCTCATATCTGGAAAAGGCCTGTACTAGACACTACTGAGGTTAGTACAAGAATTTTAATAGCAGGAGATATGAATCCTGTCCCTGTTACTAAGGAAGATGTTCATCATGAGAGCAGAAGTCTAACTTTGCAGCTCCACAGTAGTCCTGCCTTCCTTTCTGTCCCCTCCTAGTTCTGGTGTGGCTGCTGCAGAGTGTATCCTCTGACCAAGGTAGCCTTCTGAATGACCCTGTCGTGCCAGAGATCGTGCTTCTGACATGCTCACCTAAAGTTCAATGGCTAAACTCACGTTATAACTCTATAACTAACTTCCGTATCAATAGCCTGAAATACTCTACAATCCTGAACAGTTAGCTGCTACATCGATGAGTTCAGCTCCGTGTGTCCCGCTAAGCAGAAGCATTACTTTACTACCCTTCAAAAGTGAAAGCAGAGGTGGTTGCTGATCAGTATTTTAACACTCAAGTTTTACTAACCAGGTCTGATTTCATTTCCAGGTGTATTTGCCTTGTATTCTGGACTAAAGCCAACAATGATCCGTGCATTCCTGGCCAATGGGGCATTGTTCCTTGCCTACGAGTACAGCCGGAAACTCATGATGGACCAGATAGAGTCTTACTGATACCTTCTAGTAAATAGAGAGCAACCTTTTAAAACAAACAAAAACCTGTAGGCCACATCAGGGTCTGAATCGAGCCAAACCAGTGACCTTATTTTAAGGAACTCAGCTCCAGTTTAGAATTTGTAACATTTTAAATTCAAGCGACTTCTAGAGACATGCTGCATATATGTTTCCTGAGTTGGACTTGCAGAACTATCTCCCTCCCCCAGATACTGCACTAGGTACATTCATGTCATAAAGGTCTTCCCCACCTGGAACAGTGTTCAAAAGACTTCACTACGTTGACCTGTTGGGTTTAATGTAACATGCAATGATAAGCCCTGATTCATTTAAAACAAAGCACTGTTTTAGAATCTATGCTGTGGTTTTAAGTTTTTCAGTTGTTGCTGGCAAGCATCTGTGACTCTAGTCTTGTCTAGCCTTGCTGAGTATGACTTGTATCTAACCCTCAGCTAGACCTGTGTCCTTCTCTGTGGCACCTTTCTGCTCTGTGACTTTCCAAGGCTAATGCAGTTGGCTTATGACTTGGGCTTGTGCAAGCAGGAAGTGTCCACTCCCACCCCCCCCACACACACATTTGTACTCATATGAGCTAAAGCTGAGACGTGCCTATGCTAGAGATAGATAGATAAAACTTGAAGTAACTGGCTTTAAAGGATACAAGCAGCTTCTTAACAAGGGTGGTGGCATTATGTTACAGTTTTTAAGACGCTAGAGAAGGGCTGGGGCACACTAAATATCAGTGGGTTAAGCACTTGTAAAAAAGGAGACTGCTTGAAGTTGTAACCCTGTGCTGACTCCTAGTTGCGCCACCTCAACCCAGACAAGTCCATCTACTTGAAGGACAGGAAGCTGAAGAGGCACAAAAAGCCAGCACTGAGTTCTTTAAGATGACTGACCTCGTGGTCTCTTAGGCTGGCATATTGCCACATGTGCCACTTGCTGTATCTTTTCAGCTGAGTGGAAAAAGCTCATGTGACGGGACAGCTCTTATCACCTTCAGGCCTGAAGGGCAGGTCTGCTTGTTCACCTCATTTGATTAAACATGCAGCCCAAGGCCAGTTGGTCAATGTTGTCCATAATGATATAGTAATACCTATTTCTAGATGAGACTTTGACTCTGAAGTAGGATGGTCTTTATAGAAGCAGGCTTTACTTTGTATGAAGTGGGTGCTGTTTATCCTGGAAAAAGACCTGACAGTTAGGTCTCAAAGCAGCACAGTTCAGAAATCATGCATGGAACTGCACAGAACGATGGTGACTGGGTGCTTACAACAACTAACTTGGTATCTCACCCTTGTGGAGCACGTAGGCAAGCTACCCTCTATGCTTGGCAGAGCTCTTTGCCTACCCAGATCATCTGAGCTATGGCAGTCCTAAAGAAATAAGGAGTTTCTTCCTGCTGGAGATTAGGTCCCTTTCATTGGAAATACAAGCTAGCACAGTTGTAGCCTATAAAACTGAGCTGTTGAAACTTACATTTCATACCCTGGAAGGAAGAAAAGGCTTTGGGCACAGATGACAGGTCATATCAATACCTACTGTGCAGCTGGAGTTCACTTAAATTGGCTGTTCCACTGCATTGCTTTAACATCCTTGTGAAGAGTGGTTTCTGCAATTCTGGTTCTTGTTACACATGAAGAAGGGTTTGCAATCGTTTCACTTTGAACACCCATGAGAAAAAGAGATAGCAGCAGTGCATGGCTGAAGAATCTTCAGTGACTGTTGCAACACATTACCTTGCTTGACTGCTGCACTAGAGGCAGTAACACTGTGCATAGTCAGTATTTTAAACAATTCGGGTACAAAGGGAGGGCTTTCAGGGGTGTTAGACTTCTTTTCAAACTTGTCCACCATAACATATGGTATATTTATATGCATTTGTAATAGTCATGGAAAGGTAAAGACTGAATCCACACCAGTGGAATACTTCAATCTATTTCTTAGATTTGTCTTTGCTTTCATTTTTTAAAGCTGACAGTTGGAATTTTTAATACAAAAGTTGAGGCTTCAAGTGAAGCAGGATTTTTAGAACTGGACTTACAGGCTGAAGCAGACGTGCATTTTTAGGTTACCTTTTCAGGTTGAACGAAGCAGTAATGCATCAGTATCACAACTGCTTAGGCTGTACACCTTTGTCAGCTGTTGAGTGTTCAGCTCCCTGAAAACTTCCTAATGTTGGGATAAGAGCTCATGGGAATAAAGTTTGTTTTGACAAACTGAGTACCTGATTACTGTTTATGGAATGAAGCTTACCAAACCTGTGCAGCTGAAAAACAGCTGTAGTTTAAAGTCAGCATCACCATTCCTCTAGAGTTAAAAAAATTTCCAGAAGCAATCGATGAATCACTGAAGTTCTCAAAACTGAGAGAAGAGTGTAAGTTACCAAACTTGCTGTTATTCACAGCACCTTGTTGCTATCTACTACAAAAGATTTCAGAGACTCTAATATGGCTTTCCTAGTACTGAAGCCGGGTCTACTATTAAGGTTTAACTCATGGTTAATGAACATGATAGTTAACTAAGAGCAAGTTTCTTGCCAGAAGAATGCCAGGAGTCCAGCATAGTTGAAAGCTTTGTAGAGGTCATCTAAGTTCTACTCTTGAAGGAACACAGGGTCTAAACAATGCAAGTTTTTCCTCTGAAGAACCTGCAGATGCATCTTTCTTTCTCCATCACTCAGAAAAGCAGAACAGGTTGTCTGCAGTGTTTTTGCTGCTGAAGAAAGAATTGAGGAAATACTGTTAACTATTTTCTGCCCCATAAGGCAGAGATCTTTTTTCTTCAATGCATCTCCTATGCAGCTATCTTATTTTGTTATTCGTTCCTGCTTATGCAGTAGCTGTTGCTTAATTGCATGCTTCAGCTTGAAGGAAGAAAAAAAGGGGTTGACTTTTGGCAGTAACAGCCTCTGCTGCCATGAGATTAGTTTGCCTCACAAGCAGAAAGAAGGTTCACAGTAACTGCCATGCACATGATTAGAAAGGGCATCTGAGGACCGCACAATCCTCAGAGCTAAGCTAAAATGAACTTGGGCATGAGCCACTCCTGGCCGCAATAGAGTAACACCTTGTATTCCAATTCCTAGTATAGGCAGTCTGGACAGAGGCCTCTCCCTGTTCTTGCTCTATCGCCCTCTAGTGACACAGCTTCATTCTCCTACATCAGTCGGATTTCTTCCTTTTCCAGAGCCAAACATTGACAGTGGCAAAGTTACAGGGACTGCATTAACTTTGCCAACACTCCTCAACCTTGAGGGGCAGCTCTAGGTATGTAGATAATTCAGCAGTGGCCTATTGTGGAGTTTGTGTGCAGTAACAGCTCTGAGGTAGTTCTTACAGCCTCTGATGATAGATGCAGCACTACATGTTCAGGGCAAATGGGCTAGAAAGTTTTTCAGAAAGAGGGCCTGGTGGTCAAGTAGAACATGAGCCAATGTACCCTTGCAACAAAGGCCAGCTGCATACAAGGCTGTGGAGCCAGCAAGTTAAGCAGTTCTGGCCCTCCATTCATGCCTCTCACATCTGAGACCAAATTTGGAATACAATGTCCAGTTTCATGCTCCCCAATACCAGGAAAGGCATTGGCATACATGAGCAAGTCAAGGAGAACACCAAGATGGACAGTGGCAAGAACTAGGGTTTGTCCACCCTTGGGAGAAGGCAGAAGGGAGATGCCATTGCTGTTTACAACTACATAGTGGGAAGATGTAGGGCCAAGACTCTTCAGACACACAGGAAGAGGGCAAGACAACAGGCGCAAGCTGTAACATGGGAAAAATCTAACCAGAGAAGCAAAAAGGTTATCATGACTTGAAGAACAGGCCTCATAGAAACCCTCACCTAATGGGATACAGGTGACACTCCTGCTCCCAAATCCCAGGTGACCCCACAGCAATAGCCACACTTGAGTCCACACTCATGTACTTTGCAGTATGCCACTACCTCCAAATAAGCGCATGGAAGGTGTAGGCTCTATGCCTACCTCATTAACTGGGCATTAACTACAGGAAGCTATATGTCCCTCTACTTTCTCCTCTTGGTTCCTGACAATAAAAAGCTCCACATGTTGAGTATCCAGAGTACTCTAAGTACATACCAGAACCAAAAAGCCAACCTCAAACTGCCTCACAACAAGGAAGGCTTGAGCAGTCTTCACAGAAGAGCTACACTGCTGAGAACAGTTTGAAGCAAAATAATCGTCCTCTCAGTTCATAGATCACAGGGCTAGGTGCAGCTAAGAGATGTTCAGTAAGTATTTGCAGTATTAGCCCAGAGATACAAAAGCGCAGATCAGTCCCCTCACATGCAGGCAGAGGCAAACCCCAGATAACTGGCATGCTGATGAGTGCAGGGATACAATGGCAGAGCAGAGACTGCCAGACAGAGGGTGGAGGCCGAAAGAAGTAACAAAGGAACAACCTGCTTCTTGTATTGCAAGAACTCCCCTGCTGTAGGAGCATCTCCAACACCACAGCAAGCTACCAGTTAGCTCCCAGGCCAGGTGTAACATCCAGTGAAGCAGGGCTTTGAGTTACATTTGGCATTGAACCACTCTTCATCAGAAGACTTCTACTCAAGAAGTGTTAGTCTGCCTGTGCTAGATGACTGTTTCTCCTTCCCCCAAATTCCCATCCTACTGACCTGTGAAAAACCCTGATGCTGAGGGGAGGTGTCCAACTCTCCCAGTGGTGTCTTGCAGACCGCTGTTCTCCACCCATTGTCAGAACTGTCTGTCTCTAAGCAAGAACATTAGAGTCTTCAGTTAATAGAAGAAGGATATGTGTATGTGGATGCATCCAGTTATCATGTAATGCATCCACTATCTGTAGGTAAAAGCTCCAGAAGATCCAGCAGCTCATTAACATGACAGCTGACACTAAGCTAGTTCTTCAGAGTATTATTGCTCTGCACAACAGAACTTCATGTCATTGTTTATTTGAGAAGCTGTATCTACACAGAAATACATTAAGTATACTGGAAGAAGACTACTTCAATTTACACTGAAAGAGCAAGACATTCTTCAGGAATGAAGATGAGTTTCAAGTGTTTCTCTTCTTTCAGCCTTCCCTTATGGTTCAATAAAGTTTACTTCCACAGCAAACGTCTCACTGTAGACTTTCCACGTTTTAGACTTGTGAGGGTTATCCAGCTCATTTCTGGGCAGATAGAGTCTGAAACACAGATTCAGACATGTATTTTACCACCTGAGACATGCTTTGCTTTAAGGTAACCAAAAGAACTTCAAGCTCAGCTCTGAAGTATTAAATATAGCCCTGCATCTTGAGCTCAGACAGACATCAGCCATACCTGCAGGGGGCTTTTCATTTGAAAGTAGTCTGAGGCCCCCTACTCCCAGGGCCCCAAGATACATCTGCTATTTTTACTTGGTAACAATCTCGTATTATTTTCAGCTAAATGCCTCTGTAGAAACACATATGGCAGGAATTTAACTACCAGAAAGGTCAGTTTGAATACTGAATCAAATACAATCAGGCCTATCAGCCATGTTCTCTACTTTTACTGCTTACCGAGTTTGTTTATAGCGATCACTAAGCAGCAACTGCTAGTCAGCCATGGCTGAATCAGAAGACTGAGTTCTGCCTTTGCAGCAGAGATGGTACTGTTGCAGTGCTATCAGCCAGCAGGCTGACGCTTGTCAGTAGTTTAGTCTAGATGCAGTGATGCAGGGAGACTATAAGGTGCATTGCTGGCTCAGTATTAAGTCTAGAGTTGTGAACACAGACTCATTGCTGCCTCCCCTCACACACTGATGGAACCAACTGAGTAAAGACAGTTCCCTTTCTATTTCACAGAGTAAATATACTGTGAGGTTCTAAACAGGGGAACAGTGCACTTACATTTAGATACACAGGAGAAGGACCTCATGTCTCCGTATTTCTACACTCTACTAGAAAGACAGATAAGTGAAGCTTCTGATGGAACACCAACCAGCAAAAGTTCTAGTCTCAATAAAGAGAGTCTACCACTAGTTTCACCTTATCAAGGGGTTGAGAAGCAGAAACTTAAAGAGCCATTCCTCAGAATCCCAAGCATCAGCATCTGCTGAATTTAAGTTCTAGCTGCTCAGGCAGCCACACTAGAGAGGTTGGCAGAGTTACCTATGGCTTGAGTAGTTAGCAGTATCTTTTTCCTAAATATAATTATCTTAAATGCCAAGAGAGCTAGGAAGAGTCCAATAAATTAAGCTGATTAAGAGAGATCTCACATGTTTAAAGCACTTGGCACAACACAAGTAAAGGTATGCACAGTGCCCATTCACAAGTTAAAATGGAGAGTCAGACCAGTACCACACAAGTCAAAAGAGGCTTTATCAGCCAGCTACCTCAGCTCTCAGCACTATGTTTAGGGATAGTCAGCTTTGGTTAGACACCAAAAGTTAGGATCTGAAAGCAGTCACTGATCACTTACCTGTTATTCTCAATAAAGGAAGTGTTGAACCAGAAAAAGAACGGGCAGTCATCATAGCCTTTTGGGAGATCCTAGGCATAAAGACCTTGTTTAAGGACTCTATTAGACAGTAGGACTCATTTTTACAGATAGAGGAGAATTCCCACCTGCTCTCACTAGTTTGCTTTAAGCTACAGCTCCAGCTGTAGCTCATACACTTGAAAAGCCCAATATGACACCAGATAGTTATTCTCACTGAGATGTTGAAACTGGGCCAAACTTAGTATGATGAAGTTAAGACTCATTAAAAGCAGCAGTACAACTAAGACATCTTAATTCAATACATATATGAACAGCCAGACTCCCCCCACTCCTGCACAGGCTGATACAGCAGCACTTGCTGTTTCTCCACCACTCACTGCACAGGGGATGGAATAACAGCTGATGCAATGGAGCTGCCCCACAGAGTAGCAGTCACTCAGGAGGGAGGCAGATTGCTCCACACAGCAGTAGAGCCAGCCAAGATCCAGCTGCAGCTTGCACCACTGCTCTGACTCAAGCTCAGAGGCTTGTCTTCATGCTCTTATACTTACAGAACGTGACTCAAATCGGATTTTCACATCACCACTTATAACAGGGCTGTCTTCCAAGCCAATGACTACAGAGTCATTTTCAGAATCAAAGAAGAGCTGGGTAACAGAATAAAGTGTTACTTTTATTAAAGCCTACCACAAGGAGACAAGGAGACAAGACTCATGGCCAACACAAGCTACTCATTCACTGCAAACAAGTGGTTGCAGCACTGTGACAGTAGCCAACAATTCAAGTCACTCATGCCCGAGTAAACTGTTACTTGTGTTTAAGTTTTGACTTCTAGGGAAATTAGAAGTCTTTCACCATATTTCCATTATCCAAGCCTTGCTAAGTTATAGGAAAAATATTTTACCTTGAGAATTTACAATGTTCATTTATTTAGGTACTCATGTACAATATTCAGTTCCCTCAGGAACACACTTTCATAGAAACTGAAAGTTGATTTATATGTTGACTCAGCTAACACAAGTTCATAATATTCTTACCTTGCAGTTAGCCTGACTGGCACATACACACTCTAGTACAACTTGCTTCCTCATTATTATCTGCACCTTCATATCAGTTCCATTGCCTTTCCCAACTCCTAAGAAAAAGTTGCATTTTATCAGAGTGCATACATTAGCTGGAAACATAAGTGGTAACTAAAACAAAGTGATTCAACCCTACTTGAAAGCGTCTTCTTCCAAAATGCCTTTCAATATATTTTAGGGAACCTGGAAGCTGAAAGCAGCTCAAGCTTCAGTGGTTGAAAGCTATACTTTGAAGTAGCAGCAAGTCCTGCTAGGAGTGGCCTACACAGAGTCTAGTTCCACTGACTGGACAAGAACAGCAGTTTAACACCCCCCAGAATGAATAGGGCTGAATTTTTTTATTCAGCCTTTTATCAGGATTGCTATTACATGTACAGAGAAACAGATGTATATCAAGCTGAGGAACATTAATGGATCCAGTTCCATATATCAACCTCACCTGATAACAGATTTCCCTCCCAGAACTGAGCAGGTCTGATGTGAGCCACCATTTGACCAGACACCCAGAAAAAGATAGAACACAGGTGGGGGGAATTGTATTCCAATGTGCTTTTCACTGCATTTTAACTGTGCCATTTGAAAACTCACATCCTAGTAAGTTTGTTCCTATTATGGGCTTAGCAAGAGAGACAGTACAGAGTTCACCTGTACTAGGAAGCTATTACCAGATAGAGGAATAGCCAAGTTCAAGAGTTCTTACCATGTATAGAGTGGATTTTGAGGTTTTTTATTTTGAGTTCTCTCTCTGGTGGGAGTTTCAAGTTATACTTGTTTTTCAGGATCTCATAATACCCAACATACCTACTCTGTAATGCAAAAAACCCAGACACATTATGTACAGCTTTTGCACCCCACACAGACTAATTCCTGTCAGGATTAGGATTAAATAGATCTCCAAGTTCTTAGCTCCCTTAATTCCAGTGCCAAGTAGAAAGTACTCAATCATTCTCCCCCCCACTCCCCAGGTCAAGCAACCCTTATATCAAGGGTTGAGACAGGTTCAACAACTAAATTGCAAGCAGTATCTATAGTTGGCACTTCAAGAGGAAGTCTTCCCTTTTGAGTCCAGGAGGAGTGACAAGTTAATATTGTACATTTAAGTATTTTGCCCCTTAGGGAGCCAAACAATGTTTCTATTTTAAACAAGAAGCACATACTCAAAGACAGTCGCACTCCATTTTGTTTTACACCAGCAACTGAAATGCCTCAGCTGCCAGCTTCATCTCAACATACCTGTGAATATCGTGTCATGTGGTGAACAAAGATGAGTAAGGGCCCCAAACTGAGGTCTGAGATAGCAGCATGTTTAGTGTTTTCCCCATAAATGCTATCTCTGCAGGACGCATTCTTCCACCCAACCACAGCAGTACCATAGCCCTTCCCAGGCCAGGCTACAGGCTTCAGCAAGCCACTGATGCACACCCCAACTGTCTTTAGGGTCAATGCATCTTGGATATCAGGAACCAGATCTAATGAAGTTATGAACAGAAGCATAAGGAAAGTTTGGACAAAGGAGAGGGAGATGTGGTACAACCCTACCAGTTGATAGCCCTTTCTATAACGGAAAGAAAGAATAAAGAATACAGTAAGTTGGGAGTTCAGAACACAGCAGGAAGCTACAACTCAAAACAAGGCAAGAAAAGAAGATGACTTAAAAATCTCAGCGCTAGTTTGGCTACTGCTGCTGGACTTGCTCAGACCTACCTGGGATGGAGTTTCAACTCCTTGAAATTTGGTACTTGTACTTCTATCAGTTCTTCTCTCCCCAAAGTAGTCCAAACTCTCCTACATAGAGGGATTTCAATGTTAAGACACCCCCACCATTTCCCTTCCCAGGCAGCAGACAGTAATACAATTTTAACTCATTCAAATTTAGCAGAGTGCAAACCTAGCAACAGAGCACAAACCAAGTTATGCAAGTGAAGGGGTGCAGTAGAAATTACTTGTTTTAGTACCTCCTAAGAGAGCTCAACTAGAACAGGAATTACTAAGTAGAAGCCAGATACATTAAGTCTGTCACTGAGAAGAGAGATAATAATTGTTTTCCTTTAAAGAGCTTGCACTCAGATGATTCTACATCAATTGTTCAATATTTCTAGAGTGGTCTGTAGCAAAGTTAAACATTAGTTTGGTTCTCTACAGACTAAACTCAGCAAAAAGGAAGAGACCAAACTGACATGCACACCACTGAAAGGCCTAGGTCACTCTAGGCTGTCTAGCAACCCAGGTCTCCAGACCAGTATCCCAGGTCTGGTAGTATCAATGCAAGTCTGCCCCAGCTGGGCACTTCCTGATCTTTCTCCCTTTTCCAAGGAGGGCTTCTGGCAGAAATTCAGGCAGTCAAGTCAACATCACACACAAATCTTGATGTTCCACACCACTTGGGGGTGGTAAAGAAAGCAAGAACCCCACAAGGCTGCTTAAGAACACTGATGCTAGCTTTAGTAAAGCACACTCAAAAGCCACCTAGGCAGTTTAAAAGATGTTGCTCAAGATCCTAGTCTACTTTGCCTCCCCCAAAAAATTGTTTCAAAGCTGGTATCCTATTAGGCTCCACTGTCCCAAATCTTTGTCAGAAAAGAGTTTACATAAAGCTCTCTTCAAGGACTGTTTACAGTGTCATTTTTTCAATATAGACTTTTTGCAGATTAGTGCATTCCACCAGTTAAATAAGTTCTACAGGAGCACTTTCAACACCAGAAGAATCAAATGGAAAGAGAAACAGTTTTTACCTTTGCACTTTCAAACTGGTCACTGTCTATGAGCCAGGTACAGACCATTGTCCCAGTCCTGCCTGTAATAGGAGTGAGACAGGTTGAACTACAGAAATTTGCAGAGGTATTTAGAATTTTTTGCAAAGATGAAGTTATAAACCATGACAGAAGAGAATGAGATTAGTAGCGCTAGAATAGTCAAAAGTCCACAAAGAGTATTTCTGAGAAGAATAAGTTTAAGACAAGATACAGCAGTTGGCTAACTTGTTCCTTGAAAGCAGTCACCACAGTCTTGTGGGATTACTACAGAGATTTAGGAAGCTGACCCACATCCGTGGCTTCCATTCAGCAGGGGACAGAGTCAAGTATCCCACACTAGATAAGACTATAGACTGGTACTTGCCAATCCTAGAAGTCAGGAGTTACTTCTCTGCCTCAGGTTTTTTCCAGCCTACTAAGGCAGTCAAGACTGCTAACATAAGGACTCCATTGTTGTCTTACATTTGGATTTACTGCTTCAAAGGTGGAGGAGTAACCCCCCACCCCCACACACATTCAGGCTGGTTTTGGCCTGTGGGTAGTTTCAATGCCTACTTTTGTAAAACCTTTTAAGCTATGGAAGCCTTTTTCCCTAATGTGAAATATATGTTAAGTATCCCCTGGTTTAATCCAAGCATTTAGACTGGTAAGAGCAGGCAGCTGAAGATGGGGCAGATGTGTACAGGGTAATTTTGCTTATTTGCACAGCCATCTACATACTTCAACAGCTGCTGCACTACTACAAGACACAGAAAGCACCTGCAGATCATCTCACACAGAGAAGCTTGCACTAGCCTGTCCTCAGGAGAGGACATCGTATTCCTTATCTCATAAGGCCTGTGCATCTTTCAGATGTAGCAGTACCCAGGATATCCCCCATCCAGGAATTCAACAACTCTAGCTACGTTATCATGCAGGAAGTATCCTGATTCATGCAACAGTGTAGGTGACAGGCTGGCTGGGAGCTGCAGCAGCAGCTTAACACTTCTAAAAGTGCCAGCCTCAACAGCTTCCTACTCCCAGCCTCTGTCAGTGCAATAATTTCCTGCCGTCCTGGCTGAAAATCATTTTAGAGATCAGGTGCCAGTTTAGATTAAGAACTGATTTGGACTACCTAGAAACAGGGCTGTGCAACACTAAACAGGCAGCACTATACTGATACTATTCACTGTTGGCATAAGATGTTTAGTGTAGCTTGACAAATACTAGCTCTGCTGTGTTTTGAAACTGTACTTAAACTAAAGAAGCCAGGATAAGAATGGTGTGCAAGTAATTTGTGATATGCACAGACAAAAGAGTCCTACCTTTGCCTCCTTTACAGTGAATTGCTATGATATTCTTTTCATCTTGATTTATCCACTCACGGACACTGGCAGTGAACTTCAGCATGTCCCTAGGTAAGGGGGAAATTAGTGTGATCAAGCTGTCATCTAGAACTATTACTGCCTTGTATTTTTTTTGGACAAGACTCACTGTAGCGCTGGGACATTGTGGTCATCAATAAAGATCCTTTCCACCCTGTAATGGAAGTACTTGGGGTCATAGCCTTTTTCGCCTACAAAAAAAATCCAGGGTTATGCTAGGAAAGAGAATACACTCACAACAAGAGTGGCTTAAGACTGACTGCTGTTCTGAGCATATACTAGACTGTTCAAGTACAGTATGACAGATCCAAGGAAAAAACCATCAGTACGTTGGGCTAGAAAACAGGCTCCGTTTCCCCACACCTTTGATTTGCAAGTCAAAGTTCATCTATGGGCAAAGATGGCCATTCCTTCCCATACAGATTACTTAGGGATCTGAAAGTTAGTGCTCTGAAGTATTAGCCACCTACAGACAAGCTGTGAGGAGCTACCGCCAGCTTCCTCCAAGGCTTCTGTCATGTTGGCAGATGAGTTCTGCCTTTTCAGGGCTTCAGTATCAGTTCTTGTTTTGTGTCATACCTTGCCAGCTTCCAGTTGCTATACTATGATGCTATACTATTTATCTGAAAATAAAGCTTGGGATAGCTGAGCCTGTAGCTTTTTTCATTTCGGTCATCTCTGACCAAGAGGGCTTTTAACTCCTCCTTTATCTCCTCCTTCTAAGCCTTCACTAGAAAACTCTCCAACATCACTTCAAGTTTTAGTCCAGGTTCTTGGTTTTCTACACACCATGTAAAGAGTTGCAGAACATGGAAGCAGTTGTTCCGCATGGGCAAGGAAGTCTGAACTGCAAGGCATCAAGTGTTTGTTTTGCTAGCACTGATCATTCGATGTTTCAGATCAATAGTCATATAGAAACTAGTAGGCATAGGTAGTTATGTACTTTTGATAGATTTGAAATTCTTAGAGAAGATCTCATGCTGTCAGAATCACATTTAAGAGATGTTTCTCTGCTTAGGTGCTAATTACACATTATATATTGAAAGACTGATAACCATACTTACTGCAGAGGTTGTAGACTTTATAGTGGTCTTTGTGTTTGGTGTCCAAAAATCTTGCAACTTCCTGAAAAGTTAAGACAGTAACTCCAAGTTCAGAGTAGTTAGTGCTCTATTCTTTATTTCTACTACCCCCTCACTTCCTCCTAGTGAAGTCAGGAACTGCACAGACAAACAGTACTCGGACAGCAAGCTTTTACAGCCCAACAGTTCAGGTTCTCATCTGTTCAAAAGCACTGCTGTGACTATCTCCTTCCTCTCCACATTTATGCTTAATATGAGGCAGCATTGCCCCAAGAAGGCCTAAAAGAGGACATGTGATGTCAGCAAAATAGAAGACTAGATAATGCTGACTACTCACACTATTACTAGCCTGGGACAGAACTGATCTGGTTCTCTGAAGTCTTAAAAAAAGGCTATCAGAGCACCAATATGTCCACATTCTGCATACAAGATACATCTCACCAGGCTCAGCTAAAAGTCTACACCATGAGCAGCACAGCAAAGTGGAGACCACTATTTGTGTGGACTAGATTAGTCATTCCAACCAGCAGCACTAGAAGCAACTTGACAAACTATTGGGAACCTAAAAGCGAAGTACTGAACTTGTCAGAGCAGAGGGATTTTTTTTTTTTTTTACCTCTATAGGGTTCCTATAGAAAGACTGCTTCCCAGAAGATGGAAACGACATTGCAATAACACGATCTGTGGAGAAAACACATGATTCAGAGAATAATATTATAAAATTGCCAATTCCTACCCTAGCTGTAAGAACTGTCTGCTCATTTCTGCAAGATTGTCATGCATTTAGCATTGCTAGAGCAGGATCAGCTGCTGATACAGAACAGAGCCTTCCTGAAGATCAGCTACCATTAAGCAGTCTCCAAAGGATCACAGAGGCAAAATACTACAGTAAGTCAGTCAATAGCTTCTTAACTCTGGTTCCCTAGACCTCAGGAGAATTTGTATCATTATGTACAGCATATACAGCCTCTCCCAAAACACGTAATCCTTGAGAAGGACAGAGCCAAGAATCCACGTTCTCAAGTTCAGAAGATAAGTAAGCCAGTTTTAAATTTGCAGTTAGATTTCATTAGTCTACTGAAAAGGGTTCTTCTGCTTCATATCAGTGTTCAGTAACAGCAATTATTGCAATTAATAGGATGTTACAGGCTACAAGGTGCATTTGTTCCTACAGGAGTTCTACAAACCTGTAATGTAAGTGAGATCCAGGTCAAAGCCATCTTTCATGTAACGCCTTTTGTTTTCTGAGACCTGCCAAAAAGGAGTGGAGTTAAAAGTCTTCCTAAGAAACGTTAAAGATAAGTGTTGCCTATTACTAGGAAACACCATCCATCTGGACTATGAAGTTGAGCCTTATTTTACTATAGCAAAGTTAACAGCACTAACTGAGAGTAACCTTTATGATGTTACTATTTTAGCAGAGGCTCCATATAGATTTTTTGCTCTGATTTAATCAAAATTCATTTTAGTGGAAGGAACACTACCAATTCTGGAAACTGCAGTATGAACGTCATCAGGATTTGTATGTCTGGCGGAAGGAGAGTCACAGGCAGCATAACCAAGAGTGCTTACTCCTGAGCACAAAAGCGGACTTAAGCTTCAAGGACAGCTTTCCTGATGAAGCTAGGAAAAAAGCCCTTACAACAGGATAAGGCTTCACAGCATCTGAAAGTTAGGTTGTTTTCTTTCTACCTGCAGAAAGTGGCATAAGCATTAAAATTCCCAACCTTTCCCATGTGAGGGAAGGCAGTCTATGCACCACACAAGCTAGCAATCAGAGCGCACTGTGGTATCACAATCAAACTTTGATATGCTGGCCATTGCCTCACAGGAGGAGTTGCTTGCTTGAACACTAGAGATCTAGAGGTTGTTAGCTACACTGAAGCTGGAGGCAGAAGTGCAGTACCCTGTCAGTGACAGGGCAAGGGCATTGCTTAAGCAGTATTAGCTTCAAACCAATGGGCTGTGGGCAGTCTTGCCACTCACTCTTTATTAATAGTGATCTGGGGAAGAAAGTAGAGTTGGAAACAGCAGTAGTACCCTAGGTGTGTTACCAAGCCAACTTACCATCCTCCTAGTTACCACTTCAAGTTGTTTCTTTTGTGAGGCTAGGCGAAATATTCTTACCAGGATGACAATTCTCAGAACTCGAAGGACAGCAACCATTCTAGATGAGAGTCAGGTTCACCATGAAAGAAAAAAGTTAAACCTAGATACAAAGGCATTTTAAAGCTACTTAAAAGCTGTTTCAGCTACAACCTAGAGCTTTATTTCAGGCACTGAACTAAGATCTCTCAGGTTGATTTTGAAGAAAGGGTAATATTAAGCTTGAAGAACACCATGGTTTATTGTTGTAGGTTTCAGGGGTACAAGTCCTGAACAGCTCTAGCAGAACTACGAACTGCCCTACTCACCTGAACAGGCTTTTACTGTTATTTCTGCTCAGCAAGCAACAACCTCCCCAAACATGTAATATCTGTTATTAACCCTGAATTTTTTTGTTCCCTGAAGCTTAATCTCAAGTGTACACTTAAATGTAAATAGCCACCTGAAAAACAGGTAAGAAGAGAAGCTAGACAGGCCATAGCCTGTTACTAGCAACTAAGAGGTCTGAGAACAGAACAGTATAAATCCTGTTTAATCATTCAGTCATTTGAGACTTAGCTTTTTAAGGAACTTTGAACTGCCACTGAACTTTGAAGCAGACAAGACACTTATGAGTGGTTCTACAGAAGCAAACTGCATAGGGGGAGCTGCTTTTGCATATCCTTGCGGACTAACGCAAACTATTCATTCTTTAAGGAGGTATGCCAGCAGATACTTTAATAACATGCACATATTTCGGGTCCTGATACAGTTAGGTAAGAATCTTGCTTAAGTTCTGCTTGGTGAATACTTGAAGATCAGGGGAAGCATTACTGGAACTTTATCCTGTTACTTCCAAATGAAGACAGTGTGATCTCTACTGCCACAGAGCTTCTCCAAGTCAGGAGGACAATGTTGCCCTGGACACCTGGAGGTCAAGTCTCCATTTCTCCTCACCTCCTTCTTAGGCCAGGATCACCCTATTGTCTCTAGAAAGTTTCCTTGAAACTAGCAGCCAGGCAAGGAAACAAATAAATGGTGGAGTAAGGACTCCAGAGCTTCTCTCTTTAGAATGAGCCACAATTGTAAGAAGCCATTTTTACCTTGGCATCTGATCTGCTTCAGCAAGGTCAGAGAAGGAGTACGTCATGTTAATTAACAGAGTGCCCACCACTATGAATGCATCCAAAATATTCAGCTTGGATCGGAAGTAGTTCCTGAAGCTGAAACAAGGCAAGTTTTAGATAGATGTCCACACAGCTGTCAAACCTCTTACACCACAGGTTGAAGTGCTCGCAAGCAACCCAGAAGAGTCAGATAAAGACCAAAAGCCATGTTAAAGAAAGGGAGAGAAGAGCCTGTACAAAGCTACTGTTAGAGATGGGCTCTCATGAAGTACTTAAAAAAAGTGTGGACCAGGTGTATTAAGTGATACTTCAGTACTTAGTGTAAGTTTAAATTATAGCAAAGCTGATGCAGTTTCCAGGTGCTCACTTGTACCAAAATCATTTTACAAGATTACTCTATATAATGGTAACAGCCCATCCATGCAGCCAAGGCAGAGGACAAGGCCCTTGCCTATGATCAAGCAGTTAGTCTACAGGACAATCTCCATTCCTAGTCCCAAGCTTAAAGTACTGTGTTGTGACTAGCTTGAAGGCTTGCCACACTGACTTTACCTTTGACCATGCCTTACCCTTCAACAGACACCCTCAGGAGAACATCGACAAGGAAGAAGAGTGCTATTGCCAGGGAAACACCTTCAAGAATCTCTCTAATGCTCCTTTTCTTCTCACCAATAGCCAGATCCACAATCACAACTATAATGTCCACAATGATGAGCAAAACTCCAAATACTCTGTAAGACAGCAACACAAATCAACTTGAGAAGTAGAACAGAATTAGTGACATTGACTGAGGAGCACAAGCCTGGATTTGTTTCACACTGGGACAAAAAGCTGTGGGGTTTCTTGGACAAGATTCAGGCCTGCATGCATAAGCTGCTCAAGGATTCAGAACTGCATTTTTGAAGTAATCTGCAAGGAGTGCATCATCCACATGGAGCTGTATATTTTCTACTCAGATGCAGCTGCAGTTACTAATCAGTGATTCTACAACTATTTAACAGTGCTGCAGACCTGAATGCTTTAAGCTCACAAGTATCAATGCTGTCTTTTGACATTTATGGCCCGCCCCTCCCACATAAGAGGTAGGGCATTCCCTTAAAAGGAACTACCTTTAAAGGCCTACAGCATACAGCTGACCAACTGGTTGCTCAAGGACTGCTACTTAACCTAGGGTAAGCCATTAAGAGCTTTTGCCTCAGTTCAGTAGCATTTAGAGTTGCCTTTCTGCTGTTCCTGGAGAATGTAGTCGTACCTGTGGTTTAAGGCATCTTTCCCAATTATTTTTGAAGTCATTTTTTAGGGGAGAGACAGAAGGGTTCAGTAATTTCCACAAGTGGGCTGGAGTCACTGTTTTTCAAGGAACTCTAAGATGATCTTACACTAGAAGTAAGATCTACACCTAACTCCCCCCTATATCTTAACATGCATGATTTACCTGAATCCAAATGACATCACAAATGGAGATATTTTTCTCCTAATAGTACTGTAAGAGAAGAGAAACAGAGTCAGGAGAGGTGACATTTATTACTGGTATTAGATAGAAGAGCAGTGTTACTGCAGTGCACATTTTGTTTTTAGAGTTCTGTATCATACTGATTTCTTTAAGAGGAAATTTAGTTACGCTCATGAAGTACCTAAGTTAAGGTAGTACTTGAAAAATAATGCTTTGTCAGCTTGCTTGACACCATATTCATTAGCTACAGACCCTAGAAGCACAGCGCTCCTACTTCTGCAAAACACTATTCAGTGTCACAAATTCAGTGATAGTAAGTCTGCAACATAACACCCACTTATAAGCTACAAGCTTTAAGTAGGTTTATATAGTAGCTATTGGTCAAGAGGAAGACTTAAGCATGAACATCACTCTTATGGCATGTCATACAAGATACTAGTTTATTGTGGAGTCAGAGGATCTGGAAAAGAGTACTTGTTAATAGCTCCACTACCATCTCTGTGCTCTTGAAATATGAAGAGGTTCCTCTTTTACTTTTAAAAGGGAATCTCGGTTTGGCTTTCAGACTGAAGATTCCCAAGCATCTTAAGACAGCCAGCACTGAAGCCAAATTCTTTCAATTGCAAGAGTAATCTTTGCCCCAACAGGATTCCAACTCCTGTTTTCAGTTAAGGAAGATTTATTGCCTAGCAAGTAAGCTTGAAGCCTTCTGGTTTAAAGCTAAGCCTTTGTTCAGCTAGCAAGATGCAAGTCTCCTGATATGCCACCAAGAACTAAGATAGAAGCCATTCTCTGCATATTCCATGTTCAGATGTCCTAAGAGCTTGAACAGATTGGCAATCTGCTAAGTCGTCTCAGACCACTTAACTACTTTAAGCACTGCAAGTTCTTAGCTACGTAAGAATGAACATCTCCATGTAGATTAACAGCAGGACTTGATGAGAGTTCTAACATACAAATAGCAAGTACTGGCAGATCCCTTTTTGTATTGTTTACACGTCCATCCTTTCTTGCCCTTTAAATTGTAGTTGCTGTAGTATCTTTAATGGTATGGAGGGAAAAACTGCAGTTACAGGAAGTATGTCAATTCAGTAATGCATATTGCACACAAATGCTACTGAGCTGCTTGATGCTCAAACTACTCTAGAGGAAACGAGTTCCACTTGGTGCATATCCTTAGCACTTCAATAACTCAGTCTAAGACAAGGCTGAGTATCTTAGAAGTGATGAAGTAGTATCTCACTGGGCTTATTGAAATAAGCCGCTCTCCTCTGTCAAGTTCAGACAAAACATGGTCTAACCAGCCAACATCTGCTTCTTTAAACAGGAAGGAGACTTGGGATGATGAGAAATGGGTACAACTAAGTCAAGGACATAACAGGCCTCACCTTCAAGGCAGCCTCTTCTAGCCTACCCTCTAGAAGGCTGTCCTCACATTTAGAAATCCTTTATATATAAAGCAGCACTGTAATAGTTAGTCCCCATGCCTCCATCCAGTGATTCCCACGGCCTAAATGGAGGAAGTCCATCAGGACCTGAATTCACAGGCTAAAGACATGTACCTTTGTTAGGTGCACTAAAAACCTAAAGTATATACAGTACTCCCGTTTGATCTGCCAACATCCTAGAGGAGTTATATGTTGTGCTGCATTCACTTTAAGTACTTAAAGACTTTGAGATGCATTTGTAAGCACCAAGTTCTGGATTCTATAAAGACATCTTGTCATATACAAGGTAAACTATGACAGCAGACTTAATCTCACTCTTCTCCTCATGCAGGACCAGTGAAAACAAGCTTGTCTTCTCATTACCAGATCACTAACTTCTATAGCATACTTCTGTCTTAAGTCAGCAAGAAGTGATGAACACAGTCAGAAAATAACTACTTCAAGAACAGAGTTAATTACTAACTTCAGTCAGCCCAATTTTGACAGGGACATGCACTTGCCATTAGCCCCAAATACGATTTCACCTTATCTTACCAGCATTTGTGCTTTTACTCTCCCAGACACATTGGGTTGGAAAAATTCATGCAATACAACCTAAGCTACTTGCTTTCCATAATATGATGGACTTGCAGCCAGCTCCTGAGTTGAGCTTTCATCTCTAGAGACATAAAGCTTCCTGCACTTACTTGCCTGTTTTAATGCATTAAAGCAAGTTTCTGTATCAAGTGGCTTGCTGAAGTAGAGAACAGCCCAGTAAGTCTGCCTTTTCATTCTGTTTTTACATTCAAGCTTTTGGGGGTAAATGAGGCACTTAGTATGCTATTAACTTACTTGAAACAGCTGTCTGGTTCATTATCCTCATCACGACCATCATCAATCTTTATAGTGGGCTCTTCTGCCACTGGAGAGCTGGCAAAGGAATAGCACAAATCACATCCTAATGCAGATGTCAACTTTATACATTGCTACCCCTCATTGCTCCAGAGGGAGGATGGTTACTTACACTTAGGGAGTAGTGAGCAGCAACCTGGGCGACAGCACAGGCACACTATCAGGGGTAGGGGGGAAGACTTCCCTGTATGTTAGCATGGCAGAAGCCCTTGGCTTGTACTAGTTCCACTTAGCAAACTATCTTTCAAAAGTTTCTTTTGAGGCTAGAGGAGGACAGACGCATTCAGCTATAACATAAGGGGTCTTGAGCAGGGCACCTGTACAACAACTGGCATTCTAGCATCATGATTGACTGACCTTACAAGAGTTAAAAGGTATCTCACCAAGTTGCAGCATCTCACTTCATTCAACTGCTTAATTACCTGTGCTTCTTAAGATACCTCCTCTGTCCCACCTCCTTCCCCTCCCAATCCTCACTTTAGCAATTGGAATTAGATTTTTAGAAGAAAAATTCACTCAAAAAAATTACAACTACTCGAAGATTCTGCTGAGGGCTCCAGTATCCAGTCCACACTCTGGAAGTACAGGAAATACACAGACAGAGTTGCTTCAGAAAAATCCAAAAACATCAATGCTATTACAGTAAAGTACTTGTTCAGAGAGCAAACATTTGCATCAGGAAAAGCCATAGCACAGAGGTGTTTTTGTGCAGAGCAGAATATCAGACCAGAAACTGGAAGACCAGAGCAGCAGCAGCTGAGGTAGTGCTAGAACAGCAGTTTTTGTCTGTGGCTGCTTGCCATAACTTCCTTAAAGGGTCTCCTCAGATCAAATTCTCATTCAGCCACCTGAAAAGAAGCCTTGAAGGCCCCAGAACAACTTCAGAGAAAGTAAGGGCAACATCCACACCCAAGAATTCACATTTCGACCTTCTCTGTAGAAGTAGTCCATGCTCCATAATAGCACAGCCACAGTGAGTTTTGCTGTAGCTTTCTGGCATCATTGCTGTTTTTGCAGGAACAGCTGAATATACCTTCAACATTGATGTTTCCATGCTGTTCTGAGGCAAACCAAAATGTTTGAGGCATTAGTGTAGCAGTTCAGAAGATCTAGATATTCTTCATCCTTCACAACAGGTCCACGTACTGGCACTGTTTCCACCATGTATGCCATTCCCCCTTTTTAGCTACAGGCCTAATGACTTTTCACGTCCTATAGCCCCAGCAACCAATGCTGATATTGCATGATCTGTATTCAGATCAGGCTGAAGGAGAAGGTTCCCTTCTCTCCTCCACCTCCTCAAGCATTTTCAGTGTTTAAGCCTAGTTTTCCATCCTCAGTATCTCCAGACTAGCTTCCTCACTTTCTTCCTAGAGCTGAGGCAAAGTGCTGGAGACGTGTAGCATCAGCTATGCTTCTGGCTGTTCAAGCAATATTCACCTTGGAATTTCCACTTAACATACAGCTGGAACACTTCACTCATTAAAGCAGGTTTAATGAATGTTTCTGCTGTTACAGGATTTTTGCTGCAGGTCACAGGCTTTTACTTGTGCACACGTGACACGTACCAAATACCACTTTATCCTTTGCTCTGAATAAGCCAGTACCACCCATACGCTTAGCGTCAAACACTGTCTATCAATTCTGCCATGTACCCTGGAGTTACATGCCCCAAGCCCCTTTAAGTACACAAGAACACTGACTTCACTATGTCTCAGCTGCTGAAGTGAGAACCTGAGGCCTTAGTTTCAGATATGCAGTGGAGCACAGGTCAGGTCACTACAAGGATAGCAGATCCTTTTCAAGCTCTGGAGGTGAATATCAGAGCATGTGGTACCCTAGATTCTACTGGCACCTTCAAGGCTTGCTTGTGAGAAGCAGAATTAACTATTAGCAGCTGTTTTTAATGTCTAAGAGAGCAAAACCTGCTACACAGACTCATGAGACAGCTTCCACAGCAGAGGAGGTAGAAGAACCCAAGACACTCGCTCAGCACCATTGAGAGGTAATGCTGGCACCTCTTACACCTAATGAAGAGTGACAGCTGTGTCTTGGGTCAGGGAGCCAGCCTTTAAAATAAGAAGCCAGACAAGTCCAAGGACATTGTTTCTTTTGTGCTCCCACAGGAGTCTAGTTCTGGATAAGGCTTTCTCCAAAGAAAGATGCTGAATATCTTACATATTACCTTTCACCCAAACTGAAAGGAGGTCTCTGCCACAAGCTACCACATCTAGTCTTTCACCACTGGAGTGGAAGGTAAGAAAAGGAGGACATCCTAAGAGAACCTGTTTTTCAGCTGCACACAAAGCATGAGCTTTGTGACTGCTCACACAGGGAATTCAAGACTTGAGGCTTTTAGGAGAGCAGAGCTAGGTGCTGCCTACAACAGGCCTTGACAGTGTTTCCAAAGGCCAGAGAAGAGCAGGACTAACTGCCATGAAACTACCATACCTGGGCTAGGTACTCTGTAGTCCTTAAGAGTAGTTAAGGAACGTAACTAAGTCAATCACAACAGCACACTTCCTTCCTTAAAGATATCCCTCTTCCTAAATAACAGGATTTCAAGGAGGCGATAAATACCAAGACTGTATGCTACATAGACATAACATATTCTGTAATTTTTCCTCTCACTTTGTTGCGCTTAAGGCAGTAAGCAACTCCAGGCAGAGGAGCACACGCACCACACTTCAAGGCCACATCTGCACACTGGCACAGGTTGTTTCACTCACCTGGAAGCTTCTGCCAGCTCTGACCCTTGTTCGTACCTCACGGTAGTCATTTTGCTTTCGCTCTGGTCGTCTTAACAGAAGCACATCTAGTTAAGAGAGAGGAGGACAAGGAAGTCAGCAGGCAGGCGCATCCCTGCCCACGGCAGCCTCATGCTCAGTCTCAGGCTCCTGCCGCTTGCCTACAAAGCCAGCAGGAGTCACTCGGGACACGCTGAATACACCTAACCCACCAGAGCACCGATGGCTTTCAACAGCTTCCCTGATGCCAGGGCAACCCCTTTCCCTCCACTTCAAGCTGCGGGAGGTGGAAGGTCCCCAGGCGCCACCTCTGTCACCGGGCACAGAGCCCAGCCTGCTGAGCTGGGCCAGGCGCCCAGGGCCCGCACACACAGCGCCACCA